AATGTTGAAGGAAGGAATAGGGTTCAAGGACTACCTACATGGACCAATGGATGCAGGGACAAAGCTTAAGGTCGAATTCAGGACCGGGGACATAGGCCTTCGCGAATGTCGACGAAGACATGGGACGGTAAACGACGAAGACGACGAGTTCAAATGTGATTGCGGCTTCGAAGGCGAAGACCGTGTTCATGTAGTCGCGGAATGTCCGTTGTACAAGAAGGAGAGGGAAGTGTACGTGACTGAGCTGGGAAAAATAGATGGAACGTACAGGGAGATGTTTGAGGCATGTAAAAGAGAGGAAAGGACGGTAGCTGTANGGTCTACCCGCTGAGGCATGCAAAACATAAAGAGTACGCCCCCCCCCCAATTAAGGAACACGTTTTACCGTTGTAGCTGATTTCGTGCGTTCTGAAGCGTTTCATGATCTCATTTTTAGTGTACATGCGTCTGTTGCAACCTGTATCCATTTGACGAAAAAAATTGGAATGGATCGACGCCCGGGGACAAAATCCTCAATCGCCGGGTTTCCCGGGTGAAATCGGGGACGGATTTTACCCCGTTTTTGACCGTACGGCGGTGCTGCGCACATGAAAAGAGCCAGAACTAAGAGATTAATGCATAGTTGGTCCATTCTGCTCATATATCGACTCCCTGAAAAGAAATTAGGACAAAAAACTTTGCGTAGGTGATGTTATTCCCGTGCAAACAGGGCATACCTTGCTTGACCTGGCCGCTACGGTAAGGATTATCCGCGGGGACCCCAAGGCCGTTTCCCTTGTTTCACATTCCCCTTACACTCCCACAACGTGTGGGTAAGTGTTTTCTATGACAAGGAACGTTTTTGCAAAAAAAAACAATCCATGCATACCCGGGGACAAAATTGCCATATCCCCGGTTTCGCGGCAAAATCAAGGTATCGCCCCCCCCCCCCCCCCCCCCCCCCCNACCCCAAGCATCTCTGCATAGCCCTAGAAAACACACCAACCTTCTTCTAGGCACATCATTTGACTGTAAGAAAAAACTATTTTGTCTGGAGCTCATTTGACCTCTATACATAGACTACATACATTCAAGCACGTAACTGGGCCAGGCCAAAAGCAGCTTGGCACTGCGGTGAGACTTGTCGCAGAAAACCGCGCCTATTTCCCAGCACTCGAACGCCCCATCGAAAGGTCCTTTCAAGACGATCAGCTCAAGTCGCGAAGCAGCAAAAAAAATCAATAGCCCTTCAGGCCCAGGGACAACATTTCAACGCCCCCGGGTTCCGGAAAACACCTCTACACCCCCCACCCCCCTCCCCCCCGTGGTACGCTCGAAAGCTACCCCCGAAAGCTGTTGAAGCACAACCCTGGAATGCATATCGTCACCTCGACACTCAACTGACGTTTTCTGTGTGTCTCACTCGAATAATTCATCCTATACTCGAATGAAAAAACGATAACCGTACAGCATCTAGTCTACACATCAACGATTGGTGTCGGGGTTCGTTGCCGTCCTCGAGAGGAAAAAGGGGCCGCCGCCGGCGGCGGCTGAACCGAGGAAACCACCGCCCCTCTCGGCCGTCCCGCTCCTCCTTGGACGCGAGCACCGGCCCCCACCCGCCCACCAGCCCCCCTTCCCTCTCCACGAGCACCAGCGGGGCGGCCCCGGTCACCCTGTCACTGGCCGCGCCCGTCTCGTCCTTCCTGACCCCCACCACAGCCGCGCCCCCCCGACCTCCGTCCGCGCACCGTTTTGCCCACCCCTCACTCTCATCTCTCCCCGCCCCCCGCCCCTTCCCTCTCCCCGCACCCCACTCCTCCCTGCGCCTAACGGTGTTCACGCGGAGCCCCTCGATCATCACTCCCTGTCGTTTCAGCTCCAGGAGGGAAACGCGGCCGAGGTCTTCTTCGAACTGCCTCTTGGAGGCAACGACAGCGAGGTGTTCAGGGATAGGGCTGACATTCTCCCGTTGCTTCCTCTTGCCGTGTAGTCGGTTGATGGCCTTCTCCATGTTCACCGGCCACAAGCCCGCCCCTTTGAACGCCGCCATGTTGTTCGCAGGCGTGAAGCTCCCGCTCCATGCCTCCGCAATCCCGCCAGCCATGTCGCGCTTCACCGGCCTCCTCCCCCCGATTTTCAGTGGGTAGGCCGTGAGCACCCTGGTGAGCTCCTTCTTGAAGGTTCCGAACGTACCAACGACGAAGGGCTGGGTGATGTGCGATGTGTGGGACGGCAGCTGGAAGAGGTCGATGTCCAGAGAGATGGCCAAGCTGATGGCGTCGAAGGTCGTGTGCGAGGCGTGGCCGTCGAGCACAAGGGCAACTTTGCCCTGCAAGCCGCGTGCATCGAGCTGTTCGCGGAGGTCTCGAAGGTAGTCGAGGAACACGTGGCTCTGGATGAAGGATGACTCCGTGACGGTGTACTTCGCATCGGGGACGCCGTTCTTGTCCTGGATCCAAGCGGGTTACATACGCTGGCCTTTGTAGATGATGATAGGGTTGTAGGTGTGGCCGTCGGCGCCGATGCTGGCGACCACCGTCGAATTTCCTCGCGAGTTGGAGCGCCTCGCGCCGGGCAACTTGGTGCCTGTTGGCACGATAATAGCCTTCCCTACAACACGCACCGGAGAACGCGCGTGCATCGGGGGTGGAGGTAGTCGAACAATCAGTAAAGTACACATAATTTCGCAGCAGCAGCGCTCGCACACACAAAAAAGCGCGCTTACACCCGCACATGATGAGCGCAGCTCGCACCGTGCGGTGGCACACATAGGTGGTGACGGGACCATTTTTTTTCTTCAACAGCAGCAGCCGCATTCGTTTAGAGTTTGAGTGTGGATCAACGACCCCACACCCATGAAAGTTTACATTGAGCTCGAAACCAAGGTGGGTTTACAAAAGCAAAGCGTCCTACTGAAGTGTCTCGACTTGACTGCTCTTCGCACAGCATTGGCAACACACGTGCATGCGGACCAACACCGCACACGCCCCCTGTCGCGTGTAGCACACAACAAAAACACCGCCGTGTAGAACATCGTACATGAGCCCTACCATTTCTGTGCTAGAGTATAACTGAGATGGCCACGGGGATTGTTGCATACTGAACCCTCAACCGGATCCAGCATCATATGCGCGTTGTGTGCTACAAGCATGGCAAGCAGCAGCGGCCTCGGAAAGATATGCGGAACTGCTTTTTATTATTTTTGTTTTTGCAGCAGCAGCAGAACTCCGCTTTGTTGTGACACACATCACACATCGCAGNAGCACACAACAAAAACACCGCCGTGTAGAACATCGTACATGAGCCCTACCATTTCTGTGCTAGAGTATAACTGAGATGGCCACGGGGATTGTTGCATACTGAACCCTCAACCGGATCCAGCATCATATGCGCGTTGTGTGCTACAAGCATGGCAAGCAGCAGCGGCCTCGGAAAGATATGCGGAACTGCTTTTTATTATTTTTGTTTTTGCAGCAGCAGCAGAACTCCGCTTTGTTGTGACACACATCACACATCGCAGTGCTGCTGGTACTTCGCCTACGAACCTACGGTAGTCGATACCAACACCACTGACACCACTGACACCTCAGCCCTTACCCTAACTCGCTTGTCTCATCCGTGTTGATGATGCGGTCCGGCGTGAGCTAGCTCACGCCGCGCGCTATCGCCTTGTTCATCTTTTTTTGTTGCCCATACTCTCTCTTCAGGTCAGCCATGTCTACTCCATCTCTACCAACATGAATGTCACATCATGACGTCATAGTCTAAAACACCTTCCTGTGCAAATATCGCAAGCATGTTTGACTTGAAAATCAAGAGTTTGGCCTGCTCATCCTTCCCTGGCTTGAAATTGCCGTCCCAAGGCTCTAGCCTCCTAGTCTCCAGTCACGCGCAAAGTTCCTACGGTAATCTACCGAAATCCCCGAATGTGGTCTGGAGACGGCCAGTCACGGCGTTGGCGATCGCGTTGGTGATGTAGATCTAGTCGGCGGAGGGGTTGGCCGATGGGCTCCCCGCGTGTTGTGGTATATGTGCCCCTTGTTGCTCGTTCCCGCTCCGGATGTCATCTGTGCGTAGCTGCTCGTCTTGTTGTCGTAACTCCATCTGGGCCAGCCTGGCTGCTAGCCTCTGGTTCACCATATCCTCTATCCGAGCCTCCTCAGCTGCTGCTTGCTCTGCTCGGCGGGCGATGTCGCTCTCGCGCCCGTGTTCGGACAACTGTTTTTTGAAGTTCGCGGAGAGGCTAGAGCTTTCGTTTGAGCACTTCACCGTCGCAATCAGAGCATCCAGCGACGAGATACAGCAGCACCACCACCACCCACCGCCGACGCGGGCCATCTTCGGTCTTTTGCTGATTTTGCTGATAAGCATGGGCTGCCGCCAGGTGGACCCAGAGCAAGCTCGGAGGTGGCATGAAGATCCGAGAGGCCTATAGGCTCTTTGGGCTCGATAGGTGGTCGATTAAGAGCCGCCTCGATGGCGCGGTGGCCATGAAAGCAAAAGTTGGTCCCGCGACTGTCCTGAGCGAAGAAGAGGACAACTCTCTTGAAGATGTTCTGCTGTACGCTGGTCGTCACTGCTTGGCTGTGGGTCGGCTGCACCTGCTAGAAACCGTTAGACAGCTGTGCAACGACGGTCGCCCGATCCCTTGGGATCCAGAGAAGGGAAGGACTGGCTAGCTGGCTTCCTCAAGAGGCACCCACGGGTGTCGGAGCGCACGACTTGCATCTAAAAACAAACAGAATCACCGAGGATAAGGAGCCTCGCATCGTCGAGTTCTACAAGAAGTGGGCAGCTCTCCTCGACGAGCACAAGCCGACGGCTGACCACGTGCACAACACGGACGAGACAGGTGAGGATGTACTTGCTGACTAGTCTACTCTAGACCAGTGTGGTATCAGTACAAGCTGCAGTGTGCGAGCTCGTGTGCAAAGACCGCGAAGATGGCATGTCAATATCTTGCGGAGTTCTGTTGTGCGGCCGAATTCGAAGACACGGGGCGTCCTTCTGGTGTACGTACGTACTGCTGTGCTCTATCTCACCTGTGCTGTACGCCCTCGCACCTGTTCCATGTTGCCGAAGTCGACGCTGGCTGTGGTCTAGAGTGGTCTAGAGTACAGCAGTAGTTCAGACTGCTAAGTACACAAATGTACCATAGAGAAAGGGCTGTGTCGCATGGCCTTTTTGGCCNTTGTGCGGCCGAATTCGAAGACACGGGGCGTCCTTCTGGTGTACGTACGTACTGCTGTGCTCTATCTCACCTGTGCTGTACGCCCTCGCACCTGTTCCATGTTGCCGAAGTCGACGCTGGCTGTGGTCTAGAGTGGTCTAGAGTACAGCAGTAGTTCAGACTGCTAAGTACACAAATGTACCATAGAGAAAGGGCTGTGTCGCATGGCCTTTTTGGCCGATTGTTCCGCAAGTCTACCCTGCAGAAAGTGTAGCTTGCTGGTACAGCAGTACAGCAGGACAGCGTGCATGTGTGTAAATGATGTACAGCAGACAATTCTAGTCTAGGACGAGTACCGAGCATAGAATAGGCACACCTTGCTGTTGCTCTTCCTGCTGCTAGTCCAGTCCAACTACCGCCGATGAAAGTAGACAAAAGTAGGTGGCAGCTTGCTTCACGAAAAATACATGACCGCTCCGCCCCTTGAAGCGCGGTCTATCCTGCTAGGAGCGCGGTAGACTGTCCATTGCATTGTGTTAGTGTCTTTTATTATTAGCATCGACCGCGCTAACCGGCTGACCAATGAAAAGACGTAATCAGGCCGAAAAAAAACGTATTCGGTTACGAAACCGTATTTTCTTGAAATATATGGAGGCGTTCCTCTACGTTTCCGTAAAAAGAGCGAAGCGATTTTTTTCTGGGTCACAGAATGTGGCGTCCTGCAGCAGCGGAGGTGGCGGTGCTGCTGTAGCTCGTAGACTTTGTAGTCTACCACAGAGGTTACACTGCTGTCACCGCTCTATCACAGAGGTTGGTGTACACTGCTGTGAGATCGGTAGGCCCGAGCGAGCTCTGGAAAGAGACATGTAGATAGATTTTCGTATCAACTGACTCCCTGGTCAGGCTTTGATGGGTGCTAGATGAGAGTGAGCACAAGGGGCGAAGGCGCGCTTGTGTCTCATCTCAACAACAAAACAAAAACAAAAAACAAGCAGCAAAAACACAGCAGGTTCCGAGGGTCTCCGGNCTGAGTACCATCTCTTTATTCTTTCTGTACTATGTCTACGGAAGGCTAGTTGCCGCAGTCGCACCTATGGTAAACTGTGCCTGACTACGTTGTAACAGTTTTCCTCGACACTGGGCTTGCTCCTTTTACGTTTCGGGGGTGTTCCGCGGCAAAGACGAATAGTTTCCACGAGTTTTTCAATGAGCAGCAAGAAATGGTTCCCATTGGCAACCTCTGCAAATTTGAACCAACATCCGTTCGGTGACGAGGATTACGAAAATATACTTATTTTCCCATTTGGATGTCGTGGTGATGACTTATTATTGATGAATTAGAGGCCAAAATTGGGTGAAAATCGCGTCTGCGGGCCCCCCGAGCAATTTGCAAACGCCTCCGAATCGTATAAAATTTTCAGGTTAGGGTAATGTTGTGTTGCACATCAAGAATCCGTCGTCAGAATTTCGATCAGGATCGATGCGGCCGTGATACAGCTACGCACTGATATATATGCGCGAAAGCAGGGATAACCTGGAATTACTAGGAATTACACTTAAATATCCCCCCTCCCGCAACACTTTCTACATGTTGATTCAATCTCTCCTGATTTCGACATGGGGTAATTTTGGGGTGGGGATCACAAATATATTGTTGGAATGTCCCAGTTTTGATTTGCAATGGACTTTCAGCTGCTCAAAAGCTGACAGTAGCTGAGCAATTTCAAAATTCCTGGGATTTTGGATTCTCGGTTCCCACGTCGAGTTTTTGTCTGATCAACTTTCTGAATGGCTCTACCCCCTCTAAATCGGCCAAGCGGAATCGATTGCCGAGGAGAAATGGAGGCGCCGAAATCGGCAACGCGGTGAAAAAAAACAATCAAGGCGATCTGATCACACTTTTTTTTGTTTCTCATTTTTTATGCTTTTAAACGTCGTTTTAGACACGTATCCAAAAACGTTTTTTCATTCGAGTTTTTCCTCGCCGCGGGAGAAACAATTCGTCTTTACCGCGGAACACCCCTTCGGTGAACAATTTCCCGCCTTTTTCGGCGACCGGAGCAGACACCGGTCACGCGTGCTGTCTTCATCACACCAAACCTAGACAGCACCAACAACAACACCCCAAATCGCTTCCCGAGGCAACTCCACCACCATGGCTGAGCGCCGGAAGCGCCAGCATCCCAAGGGGCCCGCAGCGCAACGCCGGGAGAAGCGCCGTCGAGGAGCTATCGACGAGGTCGGTGCAGCCCAGGAACACAGGAGATCTCTCACAGTCCTGGGTCTTCTGTAGTGGCGGCGGGCGTGGTGGCAGCAGGAGAAGCTCATCGTGCCCACTGCCCTCAGGAACGGGAGCCCATCTACGAGCCCAAGCGGCTTCCGTGGGCCCAAAACGAGGCGGACCTCGATAAACGGCAAGGCTGGCGG